AGGAGCAGCTCCCCCTACCCCTTCCACCTGTGCGGCCTCCACCTTGACCAGCTGACGCACCGCCACAGCCTGGTCCACGCCCCCCTCGAGGAAGATCCCCCCACTACTCAGGGAATCCATGAATTTGAAAGCACCCCGATTCGTTATGGCCTTCCCTGTTGCAGTGATTACAGAACTTATCACTATTGTCAGTGCGAGATTTGCTTCCCTGCAACTTAAAAGCCACGACATTGGTATGGTCTTCATTGGGAGTAGGCACCTCCCCTCCACGTAAACGGATCCATCAATGAAGCCATATTTTCTCTTCGCCTTCAAGGAAGTACGCATTGCTCTCACCCATTCATCATAATTGTCACCACGGAGTTGAATAGGGGTAATTACATTCCCCAAAGCATCACTGGAAACAAGATGAAACGTCAAGTCCACCTTTGGTTTGCCTCCATCACCACCACCAGTCATGATTAATTATTTCACAAAAGAAAAAAAAAATGCAAAGCAGTAAACTCCCACCCTCACACAAATTGTACGTAAATAATGAATATCACGCACAAAAAAAAAAAAAAAAAAAAAAAAAAAAAAAAAAAACCGGATTTCACTCAGGCTCTTGATACCATGCTAAAATATAATTGGATAATTATCTTTGTAATTCTCATTGATCAACATCGGCCGCATACAATATTTAATTAGGTATACTTGGAGGACAAGGCCAAATATCCTAAGATAAATCACAATATCACAATATATTATAAGATATCTTTTCACAATATTCACAATTATCATATCTCCTAAAATATATCCCAATAAAATCCAATTCTACCCTTTTCTTAAAAAAAAAAAAAATCTTTAGTTTGTAGGATATATTGAATTCTTTGTATATCATGTGATTTTATTTGTAAAATGAATTTTAGTATACTCCGTACTTCGTATTAGATTTCCTGTGCATGCATATCTCTGCACTTATAATAAAAGCCTAATGCATGATCAAAGAAAGGTCTTCTTAATTAATTGCCACAATTAGCACATAAAGAGAGAGTAGATGTTGGCCTTTCTTGCATTTTCTTCTACAATTAATCCTTAAGATTAAAATGGCATGCTTCTTTTGTAAGACATGTGCATATAATTTATGAATGCATAAAATTATACTATCGAGAATATTTGAATATGTAATGAATTTCCAACACCAGCATGTACGAAATGTACCTTCATTAACTCAATGTACTACATAGGTCCTTTCCTACTTCTAATTCCAAACACATAATAAATGAAGTATAGAATATTATTATTACATCAATTAACCACGTATTTAATTAATCACTAGCTAGTAGTATGTGCTATAAATAAAGTCGGCTGTCTTTAACATGACACGACATAATATGATACGACACGATAACATATTCGAAACTAACACAATACCACAAAATTATTGTGCAAAAACACAAAGTTAATACGACACAAAACCAACCTGTATGTAACTCGCATTGATCGGTCATCATAGACTCATAATATGTAATTATCCTATATTTTATATAGCTTTGATAAATTTTCTGAGCATAATAAAATGTATACGACTTATACAAGACCAAATAGAACAAAATGCCACATAGCACATTTGCCAATTCTATTTAAAAAAAATCATGCAACATATATACATCAAAACATGCATTGATAGATTTCATATCTTATTTCTTTTGAGTTTTGAACTGTGTTCTATTCATCTGATTTCCACTTATTTGAATTTATCTTATTTTATCTGAATATATCTGAATTTATTAGACCTTATCAGCAAAACTTATTTTAATTGTAATTTGTACCTGGATAACCCTTATTAAAACTTATTTTTCCTGAATTGAACTTATCTGAACTTATTACATCTTAAATAAGTGAAAATAAGGTGAACAGAACAGACCCTTAGTTTTGAAGTACTTCGGCAATCCCTTGGTTTCATATTACATACCCCGTGTTACCTTGTAACATTGTAAGTGAACTATACTTGTTATGCACATAGATTGTTACGCAATAAGACTCCGAAGAATAACGTTATGAGTAATTTTAAGTCATACTCTACTTCTTAAGTTCAAAACCCGACATCTCTACACGTAACCAACTAAATTAGTTGATATTTACTTGTAGCAATTGAGAATGTGAAACTCCATACACCATATGTGAACACAATAAAAGTTAAAGAAGAGGCAATTTACGGCATGGGAGCAATGCAAGGCGCTAATTGAGCACATAATTACATGGCTTACGAGACTAGAATTCGACATTTGACTGTTTATAAGCCAGACAAGTGGACACATGCATTTTTCTTTTATTATATTTATTTGATTTATATTAATATTTTAAATTTGTATGCTGAAAAAAGGTAGTTCACGGATTAGTCGGTCCAAGAAATATTTTACAAGATGCTCTCCTTTTGACTCTGGGTCGGACACACCTTTTTAACGTAGACCTATTCCTTTTTATTTGTTATTTATTTTTATTTTACCTCTCTTTTCTCTTCATTTAACTACCACTAACTACTTTTTATGAAATAAATTAAATTTCAACTAACTACTTTATTTATTTTTATAACAAAATCTACTAGGCTACCACTAACTATTGCACTACACTACTACTCTACGTATCAGTTTGAATTTTGGTTTTATTATCTACATATATAGACTTACCATATGAATATAGTTGGGGATAAATCAAAGTCATGCGGCTCAATGCCATAATTATATATGAATATGTGTATGCAAAGTTTTGAGTCATAATGTTGTCTAATTTAGTCTAAAAGAAACGATGATATGAACTAAAGACTCGGATTCGAGTCACATATGTTGGCTATAATATTTTCTTGCTCATTACGTGCTATCCATTAGTTAAATCTTTTATTGGATTTAAAATTTTTAACAATAATGTGTATTTGTGTATATATAGTGTAGTAAAGCTTGAATTTGTAACCTTTGTGACTAAAGATCAGAAAAGAAAGTTTAAAATTTATTTCATTACATGGTGCCATTCTTTCACAAATTAAAAACACAGTAAATATATATATTTATACGTCTTAAAAAAGAAGTATACGTAATAGGAAAACAAACCTATTACGACTCAATACACCGAGATATTATCGTCTAATTCAATACTTTGCCTAGACGTTTGTGTACATGCGTGGAGTTCTTAACAAAATCTCGAATTACTGTTTGAGCTACGGATGACATGCTTAATGTTTTGCGATTTGAATTATTAATTTATACATAAAAGTCAAAAAAAAAAAAAAATGAAAAACTACTATTTTGCTAGGCAAATTAGCGTAGCATTGAATTTGACCCATATTATATGGTAACTCCAAAAACCTAATCTAGAGTGACATATTTAAAGATGTCACAGAGTTTGAGCACCGATAGATGATGGATGAGGTTTAATGGTTATCAGCTTATCGTCGTTGCACAACTTGAATACTTTAGTATATGGACTGCGCGCCTCACCGTCAATTTATTAATCTCAAATTTTTCGCCTGCAATTTTTTGCGCAAACTTAGGAATAAGGTGACGATTTTGAAATATATACGGCCATATAGTCATATACCATCCCATTTTGCTGCACGAATTGGTACCAAAACTATATGCTAACAATTAACAATTTCATTTGTCCAATTGCATTGGTTAGTGCTTCCGTCGCTCTCTTAGCTTCCTCAGGTGTAGGGGTTCGATTATCATAGGTGAATTATGAAGGAAAACCGCAATGGATAAGGGATACTGAGCACGTTGTAGAAATATGTTGCTTAATGCCCCGTTTGGTGGATGTAAAATGTTTTCATGGAAAATGATTTTCCCATCATTTTCCATTTATATTTTTATATTATTGGTTGTGCTTCCGTCGATCTCTTAGCTTCCCCAGGTGTAGGGGTTCGATTTTCATAGGTGAATTCTGAAGGGAAATCATAATGGATAAGTGATATTGAGCACGATGTAAAAATATGTTATTTTAGTTTTACGTACTTTCTCAGGATTTTTGGCAATTAATATTGCAATAAGTACTTTTTATTTATCACGCAAACTCATTACTTCAAGTATAAATTAGGGGGAAAAAAGTTCAAACCGAAATCAAAACATATCATGAGATTCATGTTAGATCACTTTTTTTATTTTTTTTTTTGATTTTTTTTATTATATAGCTTTTACTTTTTTGATCTTCTTGTTGTTGCTTTTAACATCATATCTTAGAACTTTATTAATATGGGACTCAATCTTAAGCAATCCTTGTCCCTTGAGCATTAATTAGTGTCACATCATTAGGTCATTGTACTTTCAGTTGAGATAATAATAATAATAATAATAATAATAATAATAATAATAATAATAATAATAATAATAATAATAATAATAATAATAATAATAAAATAATAATAAAAAAAAAATAATAATAATAATAATAATAATAATAATAATAATAATAATAATAATAATCATCATCATCATCATCATCAAATTACAAATTGAACAATCAAATTTCAAATTGAACCTTTATCTATAGATTAATTCTTTTGAAATTTTTGATTCTTTAACAAATAACACAAAAAAGAAAATTAAAAAGAGAGGAAAAAAACAATAGAGACAGTTTACAAATTACAAAGTGCATGTGCAAGTAGGACCCTGGACCAGAAATCTGACGTTAAGCAGTTTGGCCTGGTAAGTCTACTTGGGACAACTTCCATGTGCAAGATTCAACCTTGCTAAAACAAATCCCTTTTCTTAACTAAACTAAATCATAAACTAATCAAGATTACTATACTACTATATCACATGAAATTTTTTATATTTTATGGGTTGGCTTACTCTTCAATTTAGGTATTTAATTTACCCCTTTACTATTTTTCCTCAATTTAAGTTGGTGCTATTTTTTAATCAATTAATTCATTAATTAATGGTGATTTTGTCATTTTGTAATAGGTTAGTTAATCACTACCCCACATAACCTATAGCCTTGAGGATTCTATATAAGTAAAACCTTTTACCATTCCCTTACCACAAAGCAAATAGCTTTCTAGTCATTTTTCTTTCAAACTCTCCCTTCTCTTTTTCCCTCTCCCTCCCAAAATTAAAACTCTTGTTCTCTAAGAATATATGGCTTCTCCTACCATGTTGGCCTCAACCCTTTTCGTCTTTGTCATTAATCTATGCCTTTGCGGTGTCTACGGTGATGGCGGTTGGACAAATGCCCATGCTACATTTTACGGTGGAGGTGACGCCTCTGGTACAATGGGTAGGTTCACATATATACTGTCTAAACATTATACCTTTAGCATTTTGTTACATAGTCATGTACACAAATTCCTTACCAACACTCATAACCAATGTTGTTGTTCAGAATTAATTGTCACATTGTCGCAAATTGACTTTTATGGTTATGTACACATATTAAGAAGTTATTAGTCACTCCACTAGTCCACTGGTTACCAAAACTGACAAATAAATTAGTGTTACTATAAAAACAAGTAATATTGTAAAACCAGTACAATATGACATGCGATAGTTAAGTACTCCGTAACTAAGTAGTGAAATAATAAATAAATGTAGACTGTACTCACTATATATAGTTTTACTACAACAATAATTAATTTGGGACAGAAGGAGTACGTAGTTTATGTTTATAATTATCTAATTAGTTAGCGTAACGAAAATGCAGGGGGAGCATGTGGGTATGGAAACTTGTACAGCCAAGGGTACGGGACCAGCACGGCGGCACTAAGTACCGCGTTGTTTAACAGTGGAATGAGTTGTGGAGCTTGCTACGAACTAAAATGCAATGACGACCCAAAATGGTGCATAGCAGGAAGCATTATAGTGACTGCTACCAATTTTTGCCCACCAAACTATGCATTGTCTAATGATAATGGTGGATGGTGCAACCCTCCTCTACAACATTTTGATTTGGCTGAGCCTTCTTACTTGAAAATTGCTCAATATCGTGCAGGAATTGTCCCCGTTTCATTTAGAAGGTACAATTTTTTTTTTCCCCTTATGTACTCGCTATTCTCTCTAATGTTATTGTTCGTCTTAATTAGAATCTTTTCGTGAGATAAATTAAATCTAAGTGGGTAAAACAAAAAGAATTAGAGAAAATGTTAATAATGCGAAAGTATTTTTCTTTAATATTTTCAATTGATAGGTGTTAAATTGTTAAATGTTTTTTGAAAAGGAAGCTACAGTCATATGGTTAAGTTGAATTTTGGATGCAAGTAGGGACTAGGGACATTCTTGTAAAAAGAAAACAAAAAATTGGAAAAGAAAAGTCATGACACTTAGGCCCTTTTTTCTTCATTAGATTTTAAATGAACTTTTATATATATTAATCGGTCGTTGTTATCAAATGACTTAAAACAAATTCATTAATTACTTGTAAATATTTTTTACGGGCAAAATAATTTTTTACTGATTAAAACTAATTTTTATTGTTGTTTTTTTTAAATGACAAGTCTCTTAGATAGGGTCATATTTGGTATTTAAATAATTTCATAAAGGGTTATTTAAGCCAATTGTTTCTTGGGGTATATAATTCTAGTAGTCTAATATGGTATGCTATGAATTTTCAGGGTACCCTGTGTAAGAAAGGGAGGAATAAGGTTCACAATCAATGGACACTCCTACTTCAACTTGGTCCTAATCACTAATGTTGCCGGTGCCGGTGACGTCCACTCGGTGTCGATCAAGGGTTCGAAAACCGGGTGGCAAGCAATGTCAAGGAACTGGGGACAAAATTGGCAAAGCAATGCTAACCTCAATGGGCAAAGCCTCTCATTCCAAGTTACTTCTAGTGATGGAAGGACTATTACTAGTAACAACATTGTTCCTGGCAATTGGCAATTTGGTCAAACTTTTGAAGGAGGACAATTCTAATTACAAAAAAGAAAAAACCAACAAAAATTTTAAGGAAATGAAATTATTTCCTAAGAAAATTTTCTTCAAGAAATTAGGAAGAGAATTTTAGAATTAAGAGGAGTTTTTTTCCCCTTAAATAGATTATGGTCAATATTTTTGCTGTGGTGCCTATATTAGCACCCGCTAAAGGCCATTTTATTTATAAATAGATACATAGGCTCTTGTGTTTTTTTTTTTTAATTTTGGGAGTCTTTATAAGGAATGATGTTTTTGTTGCCTGATTTTAATGGGCAAAAACATCGGTTCTTTTTTACTCGCAACATCTTGATTTTAGCAAGCGTTGTAACTCTGTTTTACATCCTGTAGTATGAATTTTTTATCAAGGTAATACGAAAATCTTTCAGTTCAGCTGACTTCTTCTTATCTCTTTATTTTTGTGTGTTTTTGTGTTGAACGCTAATAGAATGACTCATTAAAAAAACACACATGAAAACTATCATAAGAATCTGCTTAGGATGCCATATAAAAACCATTCCAAACCGTAATTGAAAGAGAAAATCAAGTAAAGAATACTATTAGTCGGCAGCGGCAACACACACGAATCCTCTTCTAGTATCTTGAAAATGTGAAATAAACTAATTTAAACATGTCTGATTGAAAGACCTGCAAAAGATCAAAACATCTTGCAACAATAATACGATAGTCATGTTATTGTAAAAGCATAACTAAAAATATTATAAATGCTTAATTATAGCCCGTCAAAAAAATTTAGAAGTTCAAGTTGCACCCTTATGTTCAAAGTCCGCCCAAAATTAGGCAGGATTGGACCATCTTGATCACCTCTAGGATGAAATATAGAGGTCATCAACTCAATGAACTTTCAACTTCATGTAAAGTAGAGTATGTTATTTTCCAATTCCTTCAACCTTTTAAGTAAGTTTCTAGTTAATCTTTATTTAAAGGGATATTTTTTGTGTTAGGTGTACAACTCACTGAAGGGTTTTTAATACTTTTTACCTATCATTGTAATAAATAAAAATAAACACATTTTGATAGTTCGTATCTTTAACAGAGATTCACCATAGAAATATCCCAATAAGAAAATCATCCACAAAATGAATCATATGGAAGGTATGTTAGACTATGAAATTCACCTCATTAAGGGTTTTTTTTTTTTTTTGGTTTGATCTTCTCTAAATTGTTAAGTTTATAATTTTTCCGAGAGTTTGGTTTACTATGATCTGAATAATATTTTGGATTTGGTTAGATTTAAATTTATATTGTTCTCAATCGTTTTCGGTATAATTTTGTCTGAATTAATTTTCTAGATTTGTATACTGGCCTAATTAAATTATTCTACTCTAATATGATATGGCTTGATTAAGTAATAATACTATAAAGTGGAGAAAACAAAGCCTAATTGAATTTGATCTTCAAAAATCTTTGTATAATTGTATAAAACCAATTGGTAATAACATGTGGGGTAATCCATGTTATTTATTTTTTTCATCAGTTGTTCATTTTCCCTATTCTTCTATATTAATTGAAAATTCTCCAGTTACATACTCCCTTCGTCCTTTTTTGTTCTACATACTCACTTACATTTTATGAGGTCTTCAACATGTATGTTTGATCAACTATATCTTTAATTACGTACTAAGGTAACTTATAAAAACTTGATATTTGGATACACATTGAAACAATCCTAATAAGGTCACAAATGATAGTTTTAGATTTGCACTTAAGTAGCAATTTACCGCCTATTCAAAGTGTTTTTTTTTTTTTTTTTTTTTTGACCCAATGAATAGTAGGTGAGTAGGGAAAAAAAAAAGTAGTATAAAATTCTTAACAGTCCTCTATTAGACCTTAGTTTAATCCTAATTGAAAAAAGAAAATATTTTTATTGAAACAAATAGATAATCTATGACACCAATAATAATAATAATAATAATAATAATAATAATTATTATTATTATTATTATTATTGTAAAATTGTAAGGATAATAAAATAACCAATTAAACACAAAACATAATACCTTGATCATCAACCATGATTTAGAAGTGCATGTGGAGATGGGACCAATTTACTTAAGCAATTGAGAAGTCCTACCATGTGCATTCATTAAGTACTCAAATACGTGATATTGGCCTACCTAAATCAAATATTATGTCATTGAATTTAATTTAATTAGTCATATTGAGGCATTGCAAGCTAAGATAGTCATTATCATTTATAGACAACTTTAATTTGCTCATACTATACATAACCCTACCTAATGCCTATATAAATCATACCTTACTCGATAATGTACTACCAATCATCACTTAATTCATCCCCTACTTTGTTTCTAATCCCTAGCTAGTCTACCATTAAAGCTAATTTTGTCATTAACAACGACATAATGACAATCCCGTCAACATTATCTGCTACTTTACTTTCCTTCATTTTGATTAATCTATTATCGCTTTATGGCGTTTTCGCAGACTTAGGTCATGCTACTTTTTATGGCGGAGAGGACGCATCCGGCACAATGGGTAAGCCTAATATTATCTAATTAGAATGCTACATTTTACCTAATTAATACTTAGTACATACTGGTGGTTTAATTTTCAGTCAATTAGTCCATTATCCATCGTTAGTTTTATTGGTCATTACTCTACATCCACTACAATACCAAAAAAAGGTTATATATATAGAAAGTGAAACAAAAAACTTAAAGAAAGAAATATAATTAGGGCTCTTTACGAACAAATTGATTCCATCGCCATTTATCATGAGTTAAGTTAGTTGAAAGTTAACTTATTGGTTGTTGTCTTCAATTTTTAGATTTTAATAGTTTTCGAATTTCTATTAACTCAAAACTGCCTAAGAAACACGCCGTATGTTTTGTATAAAATTGCAAAATAGGAACAGTACACACCATATGTTTTGAAGACTAACGTGTCATTTTTTTACTAGTTCATTATTTTATTCATTATATTGGAATATGTAGGGGGAGCTTGTGGATATGGAAACTTGTACAGCCAAGGGTACGGGACTAGCACGGCTGCCCTAAGTACCGCGCTATTCAACAGTGGATTGAGTTGTGGCTCGTGCTACGAACTTACATGTAACGGAGACCCGAAATGGTGTCTTCCAGGGAGCATTATTGTGACAGCTACCAATTTTTGCCCCCCAAATTATGCCTTATCTAATGATAATGGTGGATGGTGCAATCCCCCTCTTCAACACTTTGATTTGGCTGAACCATCTTTCTTGAAAATTGCCCAATATCGCGCTGGAATTGTTCCCGTTTCTTTCCGAAGGTAATTTTATGACCAACTATTACACAAGTAATTTATTATACAAAGTAACTAAATACTTCGTATATATCATATTTAACTAACGTTTTCATAGGAATTTCCTCGTATTATATATAGAGGTTTTTATACATAGACCATTAGTGCATGATTACAAATTATAGTTTCCTGTACTACATGTTGGCTAATTTTTGATAATTTTGCTAATTATTGTAATTCTTTGTTAAAATGTCTTGTTAAGAATACGTTCATGTGAAATTGTCTTATTTCATTTGACAAAGAAAATCTGAGAAATACGAAGTAATGAAATAATTGAAGTGAAAAAGACAACAAGATAATACAAGAGTACGTTTTTGAAAAGTCGCACGTGAACACTTCATTTCCGGCCCTACGCTCTTAATCAAAGTTGGTTGTAATTACAACAATTGTTCGGTAAGACGGTTATTAGCTTAATTATTAGAAGATGCTTGTACGAAATCTTTTGTGATTTTCGGGTGTACACTAATTTTATTGTGATATCACGTATTATGTTAAGGTTTAAGTATCAGTTTAATTGTTAACGTGTTTTGACTAATCTTTGTAAATTTAACATTTTTACCGTAATTTTACAAATTACACTCATCTTATATTAATTACTGTACAACTGCCTTAATTAAGAGTTTGTGATGCTTTTAAAAGTATAAGATAACCAATTTAGTAAATTAGTTTAATTATAACATTAAATAAAAATAAATAAATAAATAAGGGTAAGAACTTATGGCCTACCTTTGAATTTGTGTTGCTTACCCTCTAACTAAACACTTTGACAGGGTACCTTGCGTGAGAACAGGAGGAATAAGATTCACAATCAATGGACATTCCTACTTCAACTTGGTCCTAATCACCAATGTAGCCGGAGCCGGTGACGTGCATGCGGTTTCAATCAAGGGTTCAAAGACCGGGTGGCAACCCATGTCTAGGAATTGGGGTCAAAATTGGCAAAGCAATGGTTATCTCGACGGCCAAAGCCTCTCTTTCCAAGTTACGGCTAGTGACGGGAGAACAATCACTAGCTACGATGTTGCTCCTGCTAATTGGCAATTTGGCACGTCTTATGAGGGTGGTCAATTCTAAAAAAATAAAATCAATTTAATTAACAATTGATAACAAGGAATCGATAATATTTAAAAGGAGAACTCGAGTTGATTTTATCTACGTCCAAATTAAGTTGCCAGACTTGCCTCATAAGTATTTCATGCTAAATTACGAATGTCACAATTAAACACGGACGGATACAATAGCTTATAATTGCCGTGGTGTATATTGCCTCCCGCAAAAATTCTTGTCAACTTACTCCTTGAACATTAGATAGATGCTTAGGCAAGCTAAGGTGTTCTTTTTCTTGTTTTATTTTCAAAAAGCTTATTTTGCCTGATAGAAACTGAATTAATTGGCATTAACAGCCAAGATTTTCAATCAGTTTCAATATATATACACGATTAAAGCCTTGTAACTATGATTATCATGAATGAATTTGATTGAGCTTGATATTTTTGGAGTTCAAATTAAAGAACAATATCTTTAATTTTTATTTTCTTTTGTTGGATTTTTAAGGAGCCACTTGGTACAATATGGTCATGGAATTTGGTTACTTATTTTGTATGGTCTATTTAAAGTTTTCCAAAAGTTATAACAATTAATTGACATTTTGGATTGTTTTACTGGTCTAAGCCACAGGGGAAATAAATCAATAATGCAAATGACGGGATTTGAATCTATTTTTCTATTTTACACACGCACGTTCTCAGTGTTAAGCACTAGGTCAAAATTTCATTGATAAAATTTATGCGGAGTATTATTGCTGTAACTTTGTCATGCGACATTGTTAATCCATCTTACCCTTAGCATAGAAAATAATTTTAAAAAATAAATATAAAGTACGCGATAAAATGAATAAAACTTTATAGCATTTGTTTGTTTGAAAAAATTGTGAACTCTAAAAGTTACATCATTTTCCTAATGTTAGTAAAATATGAGTTATAAAAATATAGGGAAGGTATGTTTAACATACTTATGTTTGGCGTTTAGAAACATAATGATGGTATGATTAGCGTTTGGTATAAGGGAATCAAGATTAGCTGATTAAAGACTAGGATAGGGATTGAGAATTAGTTGTTGGATATTCATAAAAATATATCACTGACTTGCAATTGTTTGGCAGTAAATGGGAATGTATAGGGAATTTGTAGAAATACTATTACTAACATTTTTTCTTATTTATTTTCATAATGGCAATACTGTCATTTTAATTTCCAATTCCTATCCCACCCCTAAATACTACCCACCATGGATTATTTTCATCGAGATATAAACATTTTATTCCCATTTCATTCCCCTTAACTTTTAATCTCATTTTTAGCTAACAAACATAGGATTATGTTAAAAATAGAATTAAAACCCCCATTCAATCTCATTTCATATTCCCGCTCAGTCGCTTACCAAACCAAACACCCCGACCCCTTAGTATAATTTAAGTTTAAATAATCTCATAACTTATTGCATTTATGATAAAGGAATAAATTACTTAATTTTTTTTTACATCGAAGTAAAACTTTTCCGTCAAATTAAAATTCTTTTAAATAAGTTCAAAGTTTTATTTTCATGACAAATGATATTTTAATAATAAAATTAGTTTGAAATTTGAAAACATACGATTAATTATTATTTATGATTACTTTCCGTGTTCATGTTTGACAAGAGGAACCTCTGGTTTTTTAAAAAAAATAATGAAATAACAAATCTAACCTTCATTTATTAAGTGAAATGATAAAATTATCCCTCATTTATTAGCTTAAATGACCGTATTATCCCGATTTTGTAATTTATTACATCAGACTTATAAATTTTATTTTTCTGATTTGATAGGTGGGAGTGATGGGGTGGCATGGGCAAAGGGGAATGAGAATAGGAGCCCTTTATTTCACGAAAATAATACCTAGGGGCAAGTATTATAAGGGAATAGAAAAAATTAGTAAATGACCAAATTGTCATTAATGAAGAAAATAATTATGTTTGTAAGGGTATATTTGTAAATTATTGTTTATTCCTTATCTACTTCATCCCATCCAAACGTAGTACTCCCTTCGTTTTTTTTTATTTGTATCACTTTTTTTTTATGGGTATTTTTTCTTTAAATGCATCGCTTCTATATTTGGTAATTTTATATTATCATTTCTCTCTCTTCCATAGTCGCCACTTAAATAATAAAAATATCTATCCTCTTTCACATACTTTCTCTTTCATGGTCCCATCTTACTTTTACTATAATAATTTATTCACTCATTCAAAATAATATATTACTCTCCTAAAACTCCGTGCAATCCCAAGTGATGCAAATAAAAAAAAAATGGAGGGAGTTCTATTCTCAAATCTCAGTTTCACCCTCTAATCCACTAATCCCCCAATTTCACGTGCCAAACACCCTGTATATAGTTATTATGTTTTGAACATCAGAAGTTTTTCAAAACCCATTATGTAATTAAACGTTTTAATATGTATGGTATAGATATTATATTTATGATAATATTTGTCGTAAATTAGGATAATATTTGTATATTTTTTGTATCCTTATCGTACTAAGTTTCCTAACAGGATTAGGACTAGTCTTGTAAAACTCTATATATATTGATTAATGGTACACACTCCAATTTGAAGAGTTTTCTCGAAATCTAACATGGTATTACAGCTTAGGTTTTAGATCTCAATTTTTTTTTTTACTTTTTTCTAAGAGTTTTTGTTTTTATTTGGGATCTTCTTTACGCCTACTTCAAGCTTCTGCTCTTTTTTCACTTCATTGATTTCGGTTTCACCCCAAGGGTAAGGACTCTGAAACACCACCGCCTCCACCTCCTCCACCTACAACGGAATACCACCCAGCTCTTTTCTTTAATAATATAAAAAAAAATGAAATCAGTTTGCAAAAACTAACGATACTCCCTAATGTATAAGACTGAGTGAATTTGTATGGGTTATTTCCCCCAAAATTTTCAGACTTTGGCGGACCTTAATTTAGTTTAATAAAGTGTCTTTCCGTCTTTCTAAAAAAATAATAATTAAAAAAAATAACTACTACGTATTTCCAATGTTGAAAAAAAATAATAAAAAAAAAATAATAATAAAGTCTAAAATAAATAGAAAAGAGTCTTGCTTACGACTTTGTTATGTAATACGCTCACTGTCCTTCGAAAAAAAAAAAAGTAATAAGCTCACTTAGCACAATAACTTGGATAAGTAGTAACCAACTAACCACTAACCACTCTTTCAATCCTTACACCTTTCAAGTATTTCTTTGCTTGGGTCATTTTCTTTATGTTTGCTCTTTTGTTTTCTTTAAGTTCTTAGGCACATCCGCACATGGATGATGCTTTCTAATACCCTTCACATTTTCAAACAGTTAACAAAGTGAAAAATAAAAATAAAATGAAATAAAAAGTGTTAAGTGCCCTTTTTGAAAGCTTATCTTAAGATTCTTAACTAAGATTTCCAACTTTTTTTTTTTAGGCAGATTTACATACAAGCACCATGCCTTCCTTTATATCACTACTCGTATATATAAGGGCAAAGGTCCGAGGTATTAAATTTTGACTTGATTGGCTTGATTCGAATAACAACCGATTCAGACTTTAAATCATATAGAGACAATAATTTAACATGACTTTGAAATAAAATCAATTCAATCCAAATCTCATCAACCCTGACTCGAATACTCGAATTAACACCTCTTCAAAGGTTAGGACATACCATAGAGAGAAGCATGTTGCTTCCTTCTATCCATTACACCGTTACACTGTTATAGTGTACATGTACGTAGTATATAAAAGGTCGAGCTTGAGTTATAAACGGTGATTAACTAATTTTGATGGTGTAGCACTGTCATGGTAAAATTCTTCCTAAGACCATAAGTTACTAAATAATTACTCTGCACTGTATATGAAATAAAGTAAAAAAAAAAAGTCAAAATTGCAACAAATTACTCAGTACTACATAATTGCAAAATCTGAAATCATCATTCTCATAATAATTGATTGACTAAATCAGATTACTACAGAGTACAAAACACTCGAGCAATCACTCTAGTCTTTACATACAGAAGAATATGATATAATCCAAAAGCTTTATAATATAGCTATTTGGAAAATTCATATTTTCATAAAAATATCTAATTAACTAATTACTCACTTAAAAATAAAAATTACCAAAAACAAAATAAAGGGCTTTAGCGGGTGCCAAACATTAGGCACCACAGCAACTCCAAGCCACAAATATGGCCAACCACCTTTCCCTATCAATTTCTCTCTCCTCTTTCCAAATATAATTACAAATTTTAATTTTTTTTAATTTTACACTCTTCAAAATATTTAATATTTTATAGGAAAAATAGGCAATATGTTTTAATTAACTTAACTAATTTAATTAAAACTGACCACCCTCAAAAGTTTGTCCAAATTGCCAATTAGCAGGAACAACATTGTTACTTGTAACAGTCCTTCCATCACTAGCTGTAACTTGGAATGAGAGGCTTTGCCCATTCAGTAAAGAATTGCTTTGCCAATTTTGGCCCCAATTCCTTGACATAGGTTGCCACCCGGTCCTCGAACCCTTAATCGACACGGAGTGAACGTCGCCCGCACCACCAACGTTTGTGATTAGGACTAAGTTGAAGTAAGAGTGTCCGTTGATTGTGAACCTTATCCCTCCTTTTCTAACACAGGGTACCCTGCCAATTTTTCAACCATGTAACGTATTAGTGTACTACTCGACTACTCGTATAATTGTAAGTACCAAAAAAAAAAAACGTTACAACATAAAAAGTCTATTTACCTAATTAGTTAAGCACTTCGGCAATTTAAAAACGTCTAAAACAACATTTTTTTTTTTTTTAACATCCACTTTACAAGTTAACAGTACTCCATGTTACTTTTATACGAGTAGTTACTGTTAACTTTTTACTCGATTTGAAACCGAGCAAAAAGTGATGAAAAATCAAGTACGTGTCAATTTTTGACGATGTAAAAAGTATCTCGTTTGATAGGTGGAAATAAATGAACACGACATTAAAGTAATATACCTTCGGAAGGAAACAGGGACAATTCCAGCACGGTATTGGGCAATCCTCAAGAAAGAAGGCTCGGCCAAATCAAAGTGTTGAAGAGGAGGGTTACACCATCCACCATTGTTATTAGGCAAAGAAGGGTTCGGAGGGCAGAAATTGGTGGCAGTCACAATTATGCTACCAGGGCGACACCATCTCGGGTCGTCATTGCATCGGAGTTCATAGCATGAACCACAGCTCAATCCATTGTTAAACAACGCGGTACTTAGTGCCGCGGTGCTAGTCCCGTACCCTTGGCTGTACAAGTTTCCATACCCACACGCTCCCCCTGCATTTTCATCATAATACAATTAGACATGTATCACCACGGGACATAATTATGTGTCGAAAACTACTCCCTCTATTCTAAAATAATTGTTATTACCATTAAAAATATAATGTGTGACAATGTAACAACTAATTATGATTAATTGGTTAACAAATTAGCAAAATGCTAAATGTATAACGTTTAAAACACGTAAGTGTACGTGTCTAATGTTATACTCTGCAGTTGTGAACTTACCCATAGTGCCAGAGGCGTCACCTCCACCGTAAAATGTGGCATGAGCATCCGTCCAACCACCGTAACCGGCATAAGCGCCTAGTACGCAAACATTGATCAAAATGAGAACCAAAGAAACTGAGAATGTAGGATTAATTGCCATTTTTTTCTTGTAGGAAAAAATGAGAAATAAAGAAAGGCGGAGGAAAGTAAAAAGAGTGGAGTATTAGGCTAAGTGTTGCAAATGAATTTTGATGTTTTGAGTTGGGAGAAGTGTTACTTTATATAGGGCAAGCAAAGGAAGCAATTGCAAATGTGGTAACGACTAAAGAGAGTTGTAAAGGAATTGACCACTCAGAAAATGACAAAGGTTTTTAGCCTGCAACTGTTTCAACTTGAACAACTGCCGAGAAATTAATATTATTCAAAAAAAAAAAAAAGACATTAAATTTACGGAGTATATCAATACTATATTTGATGTATGCTCTTTCCTTATTATTGAAGGGTCTAGTATGTTTTAGAATGTATTGGGCTTAGAAGAGCTTAGGTTCGGGCTTTTTAACGAGTGTTCATATTTTTTTTTTTTTTTTTTTTTTTTGACATCTTACATTTAGAGAGTTAATGTACTCCGTAATAAATAAAGAACATTTTCATAGTTAAACATTTTCAATGTTAAGAAATTAAATAAACTTCCCTTTTGGCTTCACTATGTTAGTTTTACTTGTAGGCCATTTATTTAATTCTTTGCCATTGAAAATAAGTACATTTTTATTCAAACAAGTGATGTCTTGCAATCGTTAGAAAGACTTACTAGTAATTTGAATCAAATTTTCTATTGTAGATTCTCCAATTTTAATCTAAGTATAATTCACATTAAACTTGATATAAACGACCCGATTGTTACCTCTTCTTTGATGTCCTTATTAGATGCCTATGAATGTGACTATAGAATCAGCTAATGTAGCTTGCATATGATATGAGTAATAGAGAAATGGAACTACCAACTGTTTAAGCCATGGACCCCCATCGGCACATGGCAATTCCCAACCGTCTTGATTTTATTTTTCAATATCATCAATTTATCAATTATATATATAAATTTCCATTTATTTATTACGTGGCTCTTTTATCTTCTTTTAATTTTAATTTTAATTTTAACTTTAATTTCTTTTTCATAATAATAAATATTGATAATTTACTACGAGGACTACGTATTCATTGTACCTAATACTACTAGAGTCTGTTAGATATAAGATATATCACACTTCACACCTACCAAATTTTGCAATTGAATATTTGAGAAGTATATTCATTTTTAACAAGCAACAATTTGTGCCTGAATTAGTGTTTCCAATTTCCCTATCAACAATTACTTCTTTATTTTATGGTAGGTAGCAATTAATGTACATGATACTGTAAGAAAATTTAATAAACGAAGTACTTACAAATTTATTTTTTTGACATAATTTCCTTAAATTGTGTCCTCTTATAATCTGATTTCATCCTCACCTCTAGTAACTTTATTCAATACAGTTCCATATTAATGGTTTAAAAAAAACATATTAAAATATATATTATGGAAGATTGAAATTCGAGTATGTAAGTTTAATTCAAAAATTGTCTTAAGGGCTGCATATAGGATAATAAAATCGGTGTTATTTCTATGTGGCTGGGCACACCGTGTGGCCGGGGTTATTATAGAGATTACTTATTTAGGGATTACTTAATCAATAATTACTCAGTCGGTTAGGGGTTACTTATAAGGGTTACTTATTCAGGGTTACTTAGTCGGTCAGGGATTACTTATAGGAGTTACTTATTCATGAGTTACTCAGTCGATCAGGGGTTACTTATCCAGGGGGTTACTTATTCAGGGGTTAATTATAGGGGTTACTTATTCAAGGGTTATTCAGTCGGTCAGGGGTTGCTTAGGTTACTCAGTCGGTCAGGAGTTACTTGTAAGTAACTCGAGAATAAGTAACCTCGGCTATACGGTGTGGCCAACCACATATAAAAATTTGTTAATAAAATATTTATTAGTGATGATAAAAATTATCTTTTTTTTTTTTTTCTGTATGCATCATTGTTTGACTATCCTTGTAGCAATGCATTTTTGATTGAAAACAACATAATTATCACCCTATTTTGTGAGAAATTTTCATGCACATGGAAAGTCCGACTATAATATGTGCATTTTTTCAATTTTATTAAACTTTGACTTGAACTTTGGTGTATTTTGGACTTTAACTACTCTTATCTATTCAATCACCGTCAGGTTTAATATTACACAAGTTAAGAGTAATTCAACATACTTGCACAGTTGTATATAAGAAATTCTCCAGTACGATTTTAGTAACCTATGGTTGTAAGCGCACGATACACCCCCAATATACCTTCGACAATTGTATATAGGATTCTAACTGTCTATAGTAATTCAACATTCTTTACTCATAATCCATAATTAAAAATACCTCACACTTTAAAATGGCGAATGAATATAAATTGAACAATATATTAAGAAAAATTTGCAAATTACCACCCACAAAATATGCCAATTTCGAGATAACCACAAAAAAAAAAATATTTTAAAATACCACCCATTAATTTAAAAAAACACTAAGATGACCACCCAACCCATTTAGCAATTCCGGTAGAATTTCCGTCAGTGGGCCCACTTTTTTTTATTTTTTTCCTTTTTTTCTGGCTTTCTCACTCTCTCTCCCCGATTTCACTCTTCTTCTTCCTACCTTTTCCTTTCTTCTTCCCAACCACCACCCCTACCATTGCTCCCTCACCCCAATCTCCCCCATTTTCTCTCTTGCTTTGCTGCCCAGTTGCCCCTTGCCCCCATTTCTCTCTCTTTCCTGCTTTTGCTCCTCCTCATCCTCACATCTCCTGATTTTGCTGTGAGCGGGCTGTGAAGTAGAGAAGCAGAGCTGGGTTGCGGTGGCGTGGTTGCTGCAGCGGTGATGGTGGCTGTGATGTGCGAAATGGTGGCGATGGTGATTCAGGTTGCTGTAATGTGACGCCGCTGAAGATTCTGGGTTGCTGCTGATTGTTGCAATTGGGGTGCTGATTGGTGGCAGCGGGTTGATGTGGCTGCGCATGCCGGGCTGCAATTTGATGTGGTTGGGACGGTTTGTTCGCCGGGGAAGGGGATGTCGTGGTGGTTGTTGGGGTTTTTCAATTTTGTTTGCTCGAAATTGATTTTTGATTTTGATTTTGATTTTTGATTTTGATTCAATTTTGGGATCTGATTTTGATTTTGGTTGGTGTTTGATTGATTTTTGGTTGTTTTTTTGATTGATTTTGATGGGGGGATGTTGAATCGTGGGATTTTAAGAACCCTAAGTTGGGATTAATTTGTTGCTTGATTTGATTTGGATTAATTTGGGGTTTTTGTTGTTCTTGCTTTGAAGTTGACGAAATGCCCAGATTTGATGGAGGAGAGAGAAAGTGGGGGAGATTGGGGTGAGGGAGCAATGGTGGGGGTGGTGGTTGGGAAGAAGAAAAGAAGAAGGTAGGAAGAAGAAGAGTGAAATCGGGGAGAGAGAGTGAGAAAGCCAGAAAAAAAAGGAAAAAATAAAAAAAGTGGGGCCCACTGACGGAAATTCCACCGGAATTGCTAAATGGGTGGTCATCTGAGTGTTTTTTTAAATTAGTGGGTGGTATTTTAAATTTTTTTTTTTTTGGGTGGTTATATCGAAATTGGCATATTTTGTGGGTGGTAATTTGCAAATTTTCTTATATTAAATACTTCGTAAAAAATAATTAATCTAAGTTTCAAAGAAAAAAACTTTCTTAAGTTGGGAGTTGACTCTGAGTTCACTCTAAAGTCCACTCCTCACCATTCATCAATCAACCATTTTACATCAACCATACCAAACACGCAAGCCCTAGCTAGAATTAGTTAAGCATTAAATTACGGAGCCATGACTCATTAATTATCTTAAAATACTCTAAATAACAAGGGGTTAATAATATGTACATAACTAACCCCAAGTTTCTTTTTTATACCCAAAGTCTAATTATTTTTAAATTTTTTTTAATGGAGGTGGTTTGTTAGTTGTATCTAACATGGCACCACACCAAAATTCAAGGTCAAAATTAAAGCATGTAAACCAAATAATATGCACGATATCCTTGGGCATCCAATTTGTGTGCTTTGAAGTAATTAGTCGTGATACATGTGGGAAATCAAAATGCTTAAAAGTTAAAACAACAAAAGACTCAACAAATCTTCTTGAATTTGGTGGTAGAAAGGGGAAATTTTCTTTAGTTTTGTCAATAAATGTATCAATTTCACACCAAATGTCAGATTTTGTATTGTATTTAATTAAGGTGTGAAATTGTTCATAATTTCTTTCCATAATATTTCTCCTTCACTACTCAATTACTTATGATGACTAACAAAAAATTAAGATTGGTCTAAATGACATCAACTATAACTCTGGTGCAAATAGCAAAATAACCTCGAGCAGCCATGCACACATTGCACCATAAATTTACATTGTTAGATGCAACAAGTAACATAACATAAGTTGTGTAGGTAATTATAGTCAATTATGTCATACTAGTTCACTTGATTGTCATAATGATTATTCATTTATGTGAACTTTAATTCAACAACTAAGGAATGATTAACTATGGTTCAATTCCTAGCAATATATATGGTCGCAATTTGGCCAATAACCTATAAATTTCTTTTTGGTTTTACAATCGAAGTTTCAATTACCAAGAATTAACATACAAATACAAAAACACGATTATTTTGGGGGTGGGGATTTTCCTTACCCAGCCTCTATTTTTCAATGGACCTTGTAAGCATGCGTGCTAAGTTAAGCAAGATACTAATGTTAGCATGGGCAAGGTTCAAGTCCAATAGGGTGCTTTAGCATTTTTAAAAATTACAAAATAATAATGGCTGAGAATGCAACAACTACGTCTATAATCAGTCATGACTCATGAGATTGCGATTACAAAATCTTTCTAAAAGATGTTTTAAGTTTTTAATGTGAGAAAAAGATAAATGTACAGTTACATTCCGTTTAGATATATCGTACTCTTTATTGGGGTTTTTCGTGGCGAGAAACTGTTTCAAATATTGTCTTTTAATTATTGTTAAGTACTCCATTAGATATAGAAATATTGTACCATATACACAATATACATGCATGTTGATCGATAATAACAAGACATTTTGGGGGTTGCATGCAATGGCGGATCTTGGCCGAAAACATTAAAGGGGTCGGGATTCAAATATTTAACC